AAGTATAACAAACATTCCATGTCAACTTGATGATTATGGATTTCAAAATGAGGAGCTAGTTAAATCAGCCTATAATGACGGAGGCTCCCATTTGATTATTCCTCACTGCTACAAAAGTCATTTCTGTGTCTTGTTTGTTGATATTTTGAAGCAGCAGTTTATGTTCATGGATCCTTTTGGGAAAACCCCAACTGCTTCTAAGTTTATAAAATATTACAAAATTTTATTAGAACGTATTAGTAATAAAAGTTTTAGTAATGTTTCGTTAGAACACGACATTCAAACAGATTCATTTAGCTGTGGAATTTTTGTTTTGCAATTTGCAAAATGTTACATGAATAATTTGCCAATGACTAATTTACAGTCAAATTATGCGTTTCGAAAACAAATTTTTGAAAAATTGTTAGGATTCGGGGACTCTTTAGCTAATGCTTGTCTGCATTGCTGTAAGTCGACTGCGTTTGATGACCACATTTTGTGTGCCAAATGTGGTCGAAATATTTGCAAGCGATGCACTGTTAATTTTTATAAAAACTCAACTAAGTGTCTTACGTGTTTTATTTGCAAAGCAATACAAGAGGATGTAGTCTGAAGATGCTGAGCACGCAATCGTGCTCGCCACGATCTTTACCCTATCTTTTATTCGTCTGAAAAGCTTTTTATACCCTTGCAGAGGGTATTATGATTTCAGTCAGAAGTTTGCAACGCAGTGAAGGAGACGTTTCCGACCCCATAAAGTATATATATTCTTGATCAGCATCACTAGACGAGTCGATCTAGCCATGTCCGTCTGTCCGTCCGTCTGTCCGTCCGTTTCTACGCAAACTAGTCTCTCAGTTTTGAAGCTATCGCGATGAAACTTTCCCAAAAGTCTTCTTTCTATTGCAGGTAGTATATAAGTCGGAACCAACCGGATCGGATAATTATATCTTATAGCTCCCATAGGAAGGAAACGTTAAAAAAATTCTAGCTTCGGTGTTTTTTGAAATAAAACCTTCTACTCTTGGAAATATTATTTCTTAAATATTTCAGAATTTCGAATAAAATATTTAAAAATTCGGACGACTATATAATATAGCTGCCATAGAAACGATCGGAAAATTAATGGAAAAGTTACACAGAAATAAATTTTAGCTTTTTTGGTTTTTATTGTATTCTTTTCTACTTTAGAACATGACTCTTTTTAAATATTTCCGAATTTCAATTTTCATTTTATCCAAATCGGACGACTATATCATATAGCTGCAATAGGGAAGGATAGAAAACATAATATTAAAATAATACGAAATTTAAAATTTTTGCTATTTGTAAGTTAATAGGAACGATCTGCAAGGGTATATAAGCTTCGGCTGGCCGAAGCTAGCTTTCTTTCTTGTTTGCAATGTGGTTGAGCGTCGAATGACTTCGTTGTGAATCTGAGTATGATCATTTCCACCTTTGACTTCGTTGAGACATCTTTTCCTCCATTTTTGTGTTGTATTGCTATACACATTTGATGCGGTTAAGAAAAGTTTCATTAGCTTGGTGTTGACTTGACATTACCATCGATACCACCAGTTCATTCGCTCCAGAGCATTTAAAATAGCTTTAAGAGCTCGTGGACTATGCCTCCGAGGGACACCACGTAAAAAAAAGTGCGCCAATCACACTACCTCAGTGGTGGTGAGGAAACGTGTGAAGAGTTCAAATTAATCAATTTAGAAAAATTATCAGAATAGCTCACTGTATAATTTCTCTAATGCAATCATACACAATCAAAACTTATAAATCTTATATTCATTTTCATGACAAACGGGAATCCATCTACACGGTGCTGGAGTATATGCGTCGCGGCGACTTTAATCAACAATCTTCGAGGTGAGTCGAAACTATACATTTTCCAAATGTGCCATTGCACCTTTTCTAAATTCAATCACAGTAAAATATTTTATAATTTTCAAATAAATATTATTGATGTAGGGATTCCTGTAATTCTACTTATACTTATATACTTATACTTCTAATTTTAGGTATCACCCATGGCGACCAGAAACCAGATAATGCTTTGCTAGACTCTAATGACGAGGACCCCCTTCTTAAGGTCTCCGATCGCGGGTTGAGCAACTCCCCTTTACGTCCTGATAACCGGCGACCGAAAAGCCTACACCAGACACGTAAAGATCTGGAGCTTGGAAGTGGTACGCTTTACCTGGCAATCAAATTATAATAACCATTGCGAATGTGATATAAGAACAAACTTATTTGTTTATGCAGCAGGAGCGAGCGCGGATCGGGCCGATTTCGAGCAGCAGATATATTCCATAAACTCGCAGCTGGACTTCGAGAAACAGAAGGACATGAAAAGTAAGTTCTTGAGAAAGTATTCCACGAACCATGAATTTATTAATTGACTTGCAGAGAACGTTGAGCGTTGGGAGCGCAACGTGCAAGAGAAAGAGGACATATCAAAGGCGCAGAGGGATGTGGCAAACTGGGTCAAAGAAATCAATCAAGGAAGGCTGGTCAACTTAAGCTGCTCCAGCATTCCCTCGTTCGCCGTCTCCATCACCTCGGCCACCCAGACGCTGGCCCTGATTGAGCTTTTTAATGCACCGCCCGGTCGCTACAAGTCGCACGTCTACTTGCTGCCCAAGAAGATGGACGAGTATGTGGCCAGCCTGCACCTGCCCACCTTCGATACATAGGGCTAAACAAGGCGGGTCCTTTTAAGCCCAACTACTATCGCTACTAGGAGGTCGGATGTCGCTACCAGGACAAAGGGTGCGCAGATGCGCGGACAATAACACCAGAAACTAGGAGAAATAACAACGCCAACAAAAGTATTGTCTTTGCGAAAAAGTAAAACTATTAAAAACAATTGACTTGAAAACCATTTTTGGCTTTGCAAGATTCTTAAGCGAAATGTAAAAACAAAATGGAAATCCGATCATATTTGGCGGAGGTACGGTGAACACCGCAAAACGCCTTTTTAATAAGTTTATTAGGCGCCAAAAAGGTGCCAGGTTGGTTAAATTAAGTGTTGTAGGTCGTACTTGCCGATATATCGATATAAATACCTAGATTTTGGTTTATGTCATGGCTCCGCACGCTGTCTCGCTGGCTGGATAGTGTGAAAACCCTAGTTTTAATTACTTGAATTTCTCGAAATCTGTGGGTTTGATTTCGCTGAAATTAAAAAAGAAATGACTTATAATGATGCCCCCTCTACTGATATACCGTGCAAGTTGGCACAACCTCTGTGAGAGCTGTATTAATTATTTAAAGTTTGCATAGATTGGTGGTTTATGTCATGGCTGTGTCAGTGTGACCGCGTGGAAAAAAACCATAATTGAAATGACTTGAGTTTCTCGAAATCTGTGGGTTTGATTTCGCTGAAATTAAGAAAGAAATGACTTATAATGATGCCCCCTCTACTGATATACCGTGCAAGTTGGCACAACCTCTGTAAGAGCTGTATTAATTATTTAAAGTTTGCATAGATTGGTGGTTTATGTCATGGCTCCGCACGCTGTGTCAGTGTGACCGCGTGGAAAAAAACCATAATTGAAATGACTTGAATTTCTCGAAATCTGTGGGTTTGATTTCGCTGAAATTAAGAAAGAAATGACTTATAATGATGCCCCCTCTACTGATATACCGTGCAAGTTGGCACAACCTCTGTAAGAGCTGTATTAATTATTTAAAGTTTGCATAGATTGGTGGTTTATGTCATGGCTCCGCACGCTGTGTCAGTGTGACCGCGTGGAAAAAAACCATAATTGAAATGACTTGAATTTCTCGAAATCTGTGGGTTTGATTTCGCTGAAATTAAGAAAGAAATGACTTATAATGATGCCCCCTCTACTGATATACCGTGCAAGTTGGCACAACCTCTGTAAGAGCTGTATTAATTATTTAAAGTTTGCATAGATTGGTGGTTTATGTCATGGCTCCGCACGCTGTGTCAGTGTGACCGCGTGGAAAAAAACCATAATTGAAATGACTTGAATTTCTCGAAATCTGTGGGTTTGATTTCGCTGAAATTAAGAAAGAAATGACTTATAATGATGCCCCCTCTACTGATATACCGTGCAAGTTGGCACAACCTCTGTAAGAGCTGTATTAATTATTTAAAGTTTGCATAGATTGGTGGTTTATGTCATGGCTCCGCACGCTGTCTCAGTGTGACCGCGTGGAAAAAAACCATAATTGAAATGACTTGAATTTCTCGAAATCTGTGGGTTTGATTTCGCTGAAATTAAGGCAGAAATTACTTATAATGATGCCCCTTCTGCTGATATACCGTGCAAGTTGGCACAACCTCTGTGAGAGCTGTATTAATTACTTAAAGTTTGCATAGAAAATGTATGGATATTTACATGGTTGATGTCATGGCTGTAAGGTGTCTCGCTGGCGCAGTCAGCGGGAAGCGGCCAATTTCAAAATTTGACCATTTAACCCGCACACTGTAAATCAATTTTCTCGAAAACTGTGGGTTTAATTTTCATGAAATTTTCACAAAACGTTCTTAGGAGGATCCCCAATCTGCCCATTTACCGTGCATGTTGGCACAACCTCTATGAGTGGAGCCCCAGACAAATTAATTTTTGGCCCCCTTTTTTGTATGGGAAAAATCCGAGGTTGGTCCACTGTTAAGCGTTTTACTCAAAATCTGTGGGTTTGATTTTGATGAAACTTTCAGACAAGACGCTTGAATTAACGCCTAATAACCTGGTTTAGCGTGCATATTGGCACAACCTCTGTGAGGGGAGCAGTTAACCAAATGGTGGATACCTGATTTTTCAAATGCATTTTTGAAACACTTGCAGAACTTCGATTTGGCTCCAACCTATATAGATCGAAAGATATTTTAATTCTAAACAATTTTGCATCAAACATTTTTCAATTCGGCCCCCAAATAGCGAGCAAATTAAAAATTAAAAATGGCCCCAGTGTTCCAAATTCCACCGTTCCACTTTCGTTGCTAACTGGTCGACGCTATTTTGACGTACATGAGAAAAAGAGAGCGCTTGAACTCGGTCGCTTCCCTGTGTATCGACTAGTTCGTTCCTAACGAGCTGGTTCGGTTCAGTTCAGTCCATCTCTAATCCACTCGGGAGCAGCGACCAATACGTATTAATTTACGTGAAAAACTTGTGTTTAATTTCGAAACATATCATAAAAGGAGAAATCCCTCTATCATAAGTGAGTGGCAAGTGCAACGCGCGTATGTATATATAAAGAAAAAATCGCTTTCGCCATTACGGACTTTCTTGGTAACCTGTTTCATAGAAGAAGTCTGGTGGTTAAAGGCAAAGAAAAAAACCTTGAATATCTTTCATCGTCGTCGTCTCAAATCACATAAAGCGTGACAGATAAATTCCGTCAGGCAATGTAATGAAAAATTATGCAGGTCTTGTGGGTTGCCTCACTCTATTGGTTCCGGGTGGGGAAGCATTCAATTCCGCAGAGCAGGGCTTAAAATTCTAGTTCCCACAGCCCGGCGACGGAAGTCCCTGCACTTTGAGCGCCGTGTCACATATGTATATAGAGTTCAGGCAGGTCAATCAGCCTTAATTTGCGAGAAATACCTTCTGAATTTCTGACGTGTACCTATGACTGACCGATCGACCTATTTTCTGACGTCACTTGTCCACAGCTAGAGTTTTGGACTAGTCATGCAGGAAGAATGTTCGGGGACACTTACTAAAGTTCGTCTCTGTTAGCTGACCATGAAAGGACCCGCCTATATCCAAATCGATACTACTGCCCCAGCGCAAGTTCCAGTACCCACTAAATAATTCGAAAGTACACGTAGGATAGACCCCTGTGCGTTGTTTACTTAATCGCAGAGCCAACCTCCCCCTTCCACCTGCTGCCACCTGTTTGTGCTTCAATATTTTGACGTGTATCTCGTAACAACTTGCAATTGTGCGGTGTGTTGGACGTCACTCTGTGTAACTCCAGCTGGAGCCTTGCAGTTCCATTACTTTTATTTCGTATCGAAATCTTTGCTTTTAGTGTGCTTGGCATCATTAACCGCTGCCACAAGAAATAGTATTGCCGAACCTTAAAGGTAGTTAAAGATACATACATACATACATAGTTTAATAGCGATATCTTTTAATTTTTTGTTTCCGTTGGCTTATGCAAAGCAATGTCTGTAATTGTGGTCAAATCATCTTGGTTCCAGCTAACATTAAAACATATTATGGGCACGCCCGTTCTCGTTTTTAGTGTGTTTCGCTGGCAACTTTCCAATTGACTGGTTTAACAGTTGGCCTTAGCTTTTAAGCAAGACCTGAAACGCGTGCCCCTGAGGCCCTAGAAAGCAGAGCTGACACAGTCTAATCCAGGAGTCGTAGACCGCAGATCATTCGGGCTATTCTTTAAGTTAAAACTCACATACACGTTAGATAAGGTCGCGGTTATTTAGCTGAAGTTGCCTTATCAGTGCCTGTGTCCCAGATAGCAGCCAAATTCCCGCCGATAAGACTGAAAGTAACCTCATAACGATTTTTTCTACAGTTCTGCCTTCTCATAATTGCTTGCAGGCTAAACACTGAATACAAAGCCACTTCAACATGAGCACACCCACCGACCAAACACCGCGCTTTGATAGCGCCGAGACCAACAGCTCCGAAGGATCTTCACAACAGCAGCAGGAGCAACCGCAGCAATCTCGATCACAAAATGTACCGGCCAAGCTCTTACAGCATTTCCAGACAAACCGCATAGATTCAGCGCTCTGGGCTCTGCGCCTGCTGGTCATCTTCTTCACCGTCAGCTATGTGCTGCCCATCTTCACGTATGAATAAGAATTTTGCACTCTAATCTATTCTAATGTCAATACATTTCGTAACAGTTCCCAACAAAGCGCGTTCAGCAAGGTCCTGTTGGCTAATGCGGCCATCTCTGCCCTGCGCTTGCATCAAAGGGTGCCCGCGTTCTCCTTCAGCCGGGAATTCCTTGCACGACTGTTCGGCGAGGACTCTTGTCATTATATGATGTACTCCTTGATCTTCTTCAACATCCGCCCATCGCTGCTGGTCCTAATCCCCGTGCTGCTCTACTCGGTTCTGCATGCCTCCAGCTACTCGCTCAAGCTGCTTGATGTAAGGATAACAGCTTGCAAATCTTGCACTTAAATACAAATGAACTGTACTTACAGCTAATTGGCCAGAACTCATGGTGGGGTGCTCGTTTTATCATCTCCATTGTCGAGTTCCAGGCAGCCAATATCCTTAAGGCCACCGCTTTCTGTGAGATCTTCATCATGCCCTATGCCATTGTGCTGACTTTTATGTACGTTTTTTCGTGTTTCTTCCATTCGTGATATTCTTCAAAGAAAATTTGTTCTTTCTATTTCAGGAGCCACGCAGGACTTATGACCCCTATCATTTACTATCACTATCTGGTGATGCGTTACAGCTCGCGTCGTAACCCCTATCCGCGCACCGCTTTCGCCGAGCTTCGCATAACCTTTGAGGCCCTGGCTGCCCGCTCGCCGCCCGCTGTGGCCAAGATCATCCGCGGAGGCATTGGGTTTATTAACCGTCTAGCGCCGCAAGCACAGCCGGCCTCTGCGCAACAGTAAAATAACAAGCTGTTAGCGGAAAACCATTATCAAATGACATCTGAATAAGCCTATTTTAATAACAATCCATTAACAGGAGATTGGGGTACATCCGCTTTATTTGTTAGTCCAAATTCGTTGCACCTATTTTAATCGAGGTTCTTCGCAGCCTCGTTCTTTTACACCGGATTGTTTCAACATTTCATTTTTAATTTAATTATGTATTATTTTAATAACTGAGTAAATTATGCTTTTATTAACCACACATTATGTTGCCGCACACAAAGTGCGCCATGGAAGATCAACATTCAAGGCGCGTATTATTACCATTAAATCCCAAACATATTGGCTTAATTTGTTTTGCTTTAACTTATATGTTAAACCAAATGATCAAACTCAAAGGCTATTAATAATGTTTACAAATATGTATTTTGTATAAATGTGAAAAGTTACTAAGAACAAAACAGAAAGTAAAGTAAAATTAAATAAACAAAATCGTACGAGATAGTTAAGTTTTCATGAATGATGTCTACCCTTACTCGTAGGCAAAAAATTATTTATTGTATTTGTTGGAAAGTACAGGTATAAGAAACTGTTTCCGATCCCATAGTAAACACAATTTTGATACATTAGGTCGGTCTTAAAATACATTATATTGTCACTTTTTCACTTGGTAGAATAAAGTGTGCAAAATAAGTTTTTGAGAACTCATTGTTTTTATATTTGTTCGACTTGGTCTTAAAGTTGCCTTAAAAACTACTCAAACGACAAGTATGAAAATTGTCGCAAGAAAACGTTCTGCCATTTCTAACCTTGTCAAATTATAAATTTCGGTGAAATTCCAGTGTTAGTGTGAATCGATTTGGGACCCAAAAATCGTACAAGGGGAATCTTTAAATGATTTTTTAAAGGATTCTAAGCAGAGCTTGCAAGGTTCGGTCAACCTTTTCAAAGCGTCGGAGAAAAACCTGTCATTTACAAACCCTATGAAAGCTGGGAGTGAGCTAACACATTCAAAGAGTTTTTGCTTAACAGATCCCAGCGGGAACATTCCTCTGGAAAATATGATATTTTCATGAGGTTTCTCCATACAAGCGGAAGGGACAAAACCTCATTTACCCCTTACATTTCTTCCGTCTCTGGTTTCAAAATACACGGGTGTGACACAAAAAGTAAGGGGGAAATGGGGTTTCTATGTGGTTTTCCTAGGGAATTTACATTTTCCCTACATCGTCGCCTGCTGAAAGATATAGGATTTCCAACACTTTCTGCTAAAAGGAACAGGATTTTCAGCACACAAAGAACCACCTTCTCACTTTCCCGGTGGGATGTTTCCTACGCAGCGCAAGTTTATTTCAGCCGAGCGCCACGTCCCCTCAAACGCCCACAATCGCCCACTAACGATTTTAAAATGTGTCCTGTGCCCACATCTTTAAAGATTTCCGAGAAGTATAAATGCAATTTTGTAGTGTATATTTATACCTATCGAAATGTAGAAGACATTTTTCAAATCGGACTATTCATTAAAAAGTTATACGCAATCAAGATTTATATATCTATCTCCCTCGCACTCCCTTTAGCTGAGGTTCGAATATTAAATAGTCGGGACACCAACCCGAGTACAGCGCTCGCACTCCCTTTAGCTGAGTGACGGGTATTAGATAGTCGGGACACCAACCCGACTATAGCGTTCTCTCTTGTTTAGTTTATATCAAATAAAAACACCTCTTAACGAGGTAAAAAACTAGTGACGACCGCACCTTCAACATACAAAAGTTCTGATATCAACATTTGTGACGAAAAATTATTACACTCGTCATTAAATAGACTTTCTAATCTTTTCTCATTCGGCCCGCCCTAGCAAACTATTCCAGCCTTTTCCCTTTACAGGCATTTACTATTGCAGCGTGCCGAATGAGAAAATATTAGAAAGTCTATTTAATGACGAGTGTAATAATTTTTCGTCACAAATGTTGATATCAGAACTTTTGTATGTTGAAGGTGCGGTCGTCACTAGTTTTTTACCTCGTTAAGAGGTGTTTTTATTTGATATCAGAAGTTTTTGTTTGTTTACTTTTGCTCTCATAGGTGCTAATATAAACATTTAAATTTAAATTGGTCATAAATCATAATTTTTAAACTATTGTATTTTAACGAATTCAGTTAAAAAGGCGTTGAAGTATTTCAAAATACCTTTTAAACGAGGTATAGCACATGTCTGTACCTTTAGTAGTGTAGAACTTACAAACTAACGAAATGTAGCTATTTTTAGCTTTTTCCCGCTAAAGTAGCGGCTTTTTCCAAAAGTCGTAGAACAAAAGATTCCTATATGGAACTCTTAAGTGCAAATTTACTGATTCCATGACCCTAAAATACAGTTCGTATACCCTCACACAAAATTCAATACTCAGGGAGCGTTAGTAGTTCGAGCTTGCAAAAGTGGCTATTTTCGTATAAAAATAACTTTTAAACGTGACTTTTTACAGTAATGTGTTATATACCAAAATTTAAGGAATCTCAAGGGCTATACAGTTTAAAGTTTTAAAGAAAATCGTTAGAGCCGTTTTTGAGAAAATTAAAAAAAAGCTAAAAAAAAAGTTTTAACAAATTTTCTTTTGTTCATATCTTTTTAACTATTACATTTACACAAATTGCATATAGAAGGCGTTTATAGCATTTAAAAATACCTTTTAAACGAGAGAAGTTACGGCTTTCCGAATTTTAGCTATTTATAGCTGTTTTCCCGCTAAACTAGCGGGTTTTTCCAAAAGTGGTAGAACAAAAGTTTTTAATATCGATGTGATGAACGTCATATCAAATTTTCAGAACTTAAAAAACATATTTTGGACAAGTGGACAAACTGACAAACAGAATTAAATTTTCATTTTGGGAAGAAGAAGAAAATCTTATTTTGGCTATAACTTTTGAACGGAGAGTCGGAGACAAATGACCCCTCATTCGACGGGTATTTTCAAAAGGAATACAACTAAAATATTGAGAGGGGGCCTTTATCCCCACCGGCCCCAACAGCTCCAAATTTCGAAATTTTCACTTTTTCACTTTCACCGCTCTCTCTCCCAAGCCAATTAATTTTCTTAAAGTCTCGGTATGCAATCCTTTAAGTTTTTGCAATACCATTCGATAGGTGTATCATTCATTATGATCGGACCATCACAGCAGATTTTCATTTCTTCGTGTATATATAGTAGTCGCCTTCGCACACTCTCCTGGTGCGCTTCGTCACTACATGGACTGCCGTCCATAGTGATTTAACCAGAAAAAAAATTTCGGGTAAGTTTGATCATTGGAACCGGAAAAAATCATTGGTGTCGTATAATTATGAAACACCTTAAAATTAAGATTTTGTTATAACTTATGCCACGGAGGCAAATATTGTTTTCACATGAAATTCTTTGTTTTGTTATAACGATTAAATACAAACACAATCACCTTAATACGACTTTTAATAAAAAAAATATTAAAGAAATTTTGAAACACACCTTAGTTAAAATTGCGTAAAAATATTACAAATACTAAGCAAAAATAAGCGTTATGGGGAAAATAAATACATTTTAAGGTACTGTCATTTGAATTCACTAGGTTCGCCGCACAATAAATTGATGATAAAAATTGAATGTGTCATCCCAGCCTTATACATTTATATAGTACTTTTTGTGTTATTTTTCGAAACTACTTAAAGTAGTTTTTGGTGATAAGAAAACTTGTACCAACAAATGTAGGACATTTCGCCGTTGAATTTAAAAAGCCGAAGCCAGTACGTTAAATTACGGCAAAATATTGGAAAAATATAAAAATTTACCGGAATTTCTTGTGAAAATAGTTTAAAATGAGATTTTGTTTTGTTTATTAATAACTACTGACACAAAAAATTCTCAAATGGCATAGAAATTCGTTTTTAGATGGGAAATGTACAAGCAAATACTAGATTTTTTGATTTTTTTCTTTTGGAATGTTGTTTATTAAACTATTATCTTTCCGATTGCATCAAAACATTTTCATTTTTCACCCCAAAACACCCTAAAAAACAAGAAAAACTAGAAATTGCAAATATTCGGCTGTCAATTAATTGTTTGCAAAATGCAAAAAATGACCGTCTAAGGACATTTTTATACCCGTCATTCGTAAAGTAAAAGGGTATATTGTATTCGTGCAAAAGTATGTAACAGCTAGAAGGAAGCGTTTCCGACCCCATAAAGTACATATATTCTTGATCAGGGTCACTAGCCGAGTCGATCTAGCCATGTCCGTCTGTATGAACGCCAAGATCTCGGAAACAACAAAAGCTAGAAGGTTGAGATTTTCAACACATATTCTTGGGCTTCCTACGCAGCGCAAGTTTATTTCAGCCGAGCGCCGCGTCCCCTCTAACGCCCACAATCGCCCACTAACAATTTTAAAATGGGTCTGGCGCCCACACCTTTAAAGATTTCCGAGAAGTATAAATGCAATTTTGTTGTGTATATTTATACCTATCGAAATGTAGAAGACTTTTTTCAAATCGGACCATTCGTTAAAAAGTTATACGCAATCAAAAAATGTTATATATCCATCTCCCTCGCACTCCCTTTAGCCGAGTGACGGGTATTAGATAGTCAGGACAACAACCCGACTATAGCGTTTTCTCTTGTTTAATTTTTTTCCATGAAAACTTCAGAAAATATAGTTTAAGTGTTGTACCGAATTAAAAAAGATCGGATTTCTATTTCGTTTTTACATTTCGCTTAAGAATTAAAAAAACCCGCCCCCTGGGAAGCCCTTTTTTTAATTTTTTATTTTTTATTTTTTTTATAAAGTCAGAAATTTGTTTTTAACCTAAAAAATTTGATTTCGCCCTAAAAATTAAATATTTAAAGTTAAAAAATAAAAAAAAACGCTTCCCAGCGGGCGGTTTTTTTTATGCAGAAAAATATGCGACAATTTTGAAAACGATCGGTTGAGCCGTTTAGAAATGCCGATGAGCACAGACTTTCGAAACGTGGTTTTGAGAAAACCGCACTTAAAGATGCACTTACGTACCTAGAGTCTTAGGGTACTAGTTTTAGCATAACTTCTAAAGTTTTTGTCCGATTGACTTAAAACTTGTTTTGTATAATCTTAAGATGTTAATCTACAAGAATTTTTTTTTTTTAAATCTATATTTTTTATGCATGACCATGTTGGCTTTTTGGCCCATTTTATAGAATTTGGCCCTTTTTTGCTAATAGCGATACAAAATATTTTAAACTAGAAAAAAACGGATTCATTTTCGTATTAATGCATTTTTTTGCAATTTTAAAAGTGATTAATGTCTGAAACCCAAAAGTGCCAGATCGAAACTAAATTGTTCCGCTGGTATGTTAATTTGGTATATGGTAAAAATTTGTCTCTTTTTTATTCAAATTGGCTCATTACACAGGTACACAGCCAAAAATTTCCACGAACCATTTCAAGTTTTCCATGATATTTGGGTGCTCCTGAGTAAAAGTCCCATACAAAATTATTTTCCATCACCTACAGGTTCCGCGGTATAGCTAAGAATACAAAAAACCGATGTTTGCCGACATTTGGAATTACGTGGCCTATATAATTGGACTAACCTTTATTATTTTCGGTAGGACCAACTCTCAATACATCACGGCATTCCTAGAAAATAGACCCCTATGTGAACCATTGCCCATGTCTTTGGAATTCGACGCCAAAGTTG